TGTTCATCCCAGGGATGCAAGGTTGGTTCAACATACAGAAATCAATAAATGTAATTCATCACATCAACAGACTTAAAAGATAAAAATCATATGTCATCTCAACGGATGCAGAAAAAGCATTTGACAAAATACAGTACCCCTTCATGTTAAAAACCCTAGAAAAACTAGGGATAGTAGGAACATATCTCAACATTGTAAATGCTAAGCCCAAGGCCAACCTCATTCTAGATGGAAAAAAAAACTGAAAGCATTCCCTCTGAAAAGTGGAACAAGACAGGGATGTCCCCTTTCTTCACTTCTATTTAACATAATTCTTAAAACTATAGCCAGAGCAATTAAACAGATGAAAGAAATTAAAGGGATATGGATAGGAAAAGAAGAACTCATACTATCACTATTTTCCAATGACAAGATTCTATATTGAGAAAATCCAAAAAACTCCACCAGAAAACTTTTCAAACTAGTAAATGAATTCAGCAATGTAGCAGGATATAAACTCAACACCAATAAATAAAAGGCGTTTCAGTGACAAATTCTCTGAAAGAGAAACTAGGGAAACTACCCCATTCACAAGAGCCTCAAAAAAAAAAATACTTGAGAATCAACTTAACAAAAGAGGTGAAAGACCTCTACAATGAAAACTAAAGAATGCTAAAGAAGAAATTAAAGAAGACCTTGGAAGATGGAAAGATCTCCCTTGTTCTTGGATAGGCAGAGCTAATACTGTCAAAATGACCATACTACCAAAAGCTCTGTACAGATTTAATGCAATTCCAATCACAATCCCAATGACCTTCCTCATAGAAAGAGAAAAGCAATCATGAAATTCATCTGTAAAAAAAGGAGACCCCGAATAGCTAAAGCAATCCTTAGCAGGAAGAGTGAAGCAGGTGGCATCACTATACCAGACCTTAAACTATTACTACATAGCAATAGTAACAAAACCAGCATGGTACTGGCACCACAATAGACTGGTAGACCAATGGTACAGAATAGAAGACACAGAGACTAACCCACATAAATACAGTTATCTCATACTAGACAAAGGCGCCAAAAACATGCATTGGAGAAAGATAGCCTCTTCAACAAATGGTGCTGGGAAAACTGGAAATCCATATGCAACAAAATTAAATTAAGCACAAATCTCAAATCAAAGTGGATCAAGGACCCAAATTAGACCAGAAACCCTGCATCTAATAGAAGAAAAAGTAGGCCAAAATCTTCATCATGTTGGATTAGGCCCTGACTTCCTTAATAAGACTCCTATAGTGCAAGAAATTAAATCAAGAATTGATAAATGGATGGATTCAAACTGGAAAGCTTCTTCTCAGTGAAAGAAACAGTGAGGTGAAGAGAGAGCCTACAGAATGGGAGCAAATTTTTACCACTCACACATCAGATAAAGCACTAATCTCAGAATATATGAAGAATTCAAAAAACTAAACACCAAAAAAAAAAAAAAAAAAAAACAACACAAACAAATAACCCAATCAATAAATGGGCTAAGAAACTGAACAGATACTTCTCAGAAGATGATACACAATCAATTAACAAATATATGAAAAAGTGTTCAACATCTCTAGCAATTACAGAAATGCAAATCAAAACTATTCTAAGATTTAATCTCACTCCAGTCAGAATGGCAGCTATTAAAAACCCAAACAACAGTAAGTGCTGGTGAGGATGTGGGGAGAAAGGCACACTCATACATTGCTGGTGGGACTACAAATTGGTGCAGCCAAAATGGAAAACAGTATGGAGATTCCTTGGAAATCCTGGGATGGAACCACCATTTGACCCAGCTATCCCCTCTACGGATTATACCCAAAGAACATATACTTAAGAACAGCACACTACAGTGACATAGCCACATCAATGTTTATAGCTGCACAACTCATGATAGCTGAATTGTGGAACCAACCTAGATGTCCTTCAACAGATGAATGGATAAAGAAACTGTGATATATATGCACAATGGAATATTACTTGCATTAAAAGAGAATAAAATCATGACATGTGCAGGTAAATGGATGGAGTAGGAGAATATCATGCTAAGTGAAGTAAGCCAATTCCAAAATACCAAATTTCGAATGTTTTCTCTGATAAGTGGATGCTGATCCATAATGGGGGTGGTGGGGGAGCATGGAAGTAATAGAGGAACTTTGTAGAAGGAAAAGGGGAGGGAGGGGAAGGCAGGGGGCATGAAGTGATAGAATCTTCTCTAGGAAAGGTGGTGGAATGAGATGGACATCATTACCCTAAGTACATGTGACTCTACTTTGTGACTCTACTTTGTGTACAACCAGAGAAATGAAAAATTGTGCTCTATGTGTGTACTATTAATTGAAATGCATTCTGCTGTTATGTACAACAAATTAGAATAAATAAATAAATTTTAAAAAATAAAATAAAGAAGAAAAAAATCATGATATCTATATCAGACAGAAATGCACATAGTGGTTATTATAAATTTGAAGTTTATTAACTTATTTGGATGCAACCTCATTTTCATGCCTCGGTTTCTTAATTTTCTTAAAAGGATGTTTTCAACTACACATATGATATTTAACAACACTACAAAGCAGAGTAGTAGCTTTGGTAGTGATAGAATCTTCTCTTGTTGAGGTTGACTCTGATCAAGGAAAAAAAAAAATAGAACATGACAACTGAGATACTGTACAAGAGCTTTTTATCCTTGCAAAATCCTGTCAAAGAAAGGCTAAAGCATTATCAATAGCAATTAGTAAACCCTTTAAGCTTCAAATTCAATGTAGTCAACAAATGTATCTCCTGGAATTTATTGGAAAGTACTACTCCTGAGGGCTGGATTCAACTGTGCTGATATGGATTTAAATTACTAATCCAAAAAGAATTCCACACTGTAAACAAAGTCAATTTCACAAACATATATTTGGGAGTATGTTTGAAAATCTGTTAACATTTTCAAGTGGAAAAATTATCCTACATTTCAATTCTATAGTTCTTCAAAAGAAAAAAATTTAAAGGCTATTATTTCTACAGACATATCTTTCTTTGGCTTTTAGAATGAGGGACTAAGAAAATGCTATCCATGAATCCTACTTCTTACAAAGTGAGACACTGGTACTGAAACCTGTTTAGAAGCAATTAGGCAAATTAAGCCTGACAGCATGACTTCAGAAGGGTTGCTGTGTAAGCCCCCATCTGTAATGAGAATTTGCATTGAAGCAAGGAACAGCTGATATATTTCAAAAAGATACAATTCTTAGCCCAGCTACTGGATAAGCCAAGGCAGGGGGAATTGCAGTTTATCTTAGCAAGACTGTCTCAAAATTAAAAATTAGGGCTGGGAATGGAGGTCAGTGGTAGAACACTTTGCCTGGTATGCATAGGCAAGTGCTTGATGTTTTGATCTTCTGTTTGATCTTCAGAACTAAAAAAAAAAAAAAAATTAAAACAAGTTTGGGGTGCTCTCCATAGATCTCCTTTTCCTTAGATGGAATACAGTGGGGTGAGATGATAATAATGATTTCAGATTTCTGTTTAGTCTTTTCAAAGGGAGGAAGGCATATGATGAAGCAGGTCTGCCTCCTGCCAATAAAGAAACTCAGGATATGGAGAAGGTCTGTGACTGACGAATGGAAGCAGGACAAAAATGGCTAAATTTTTCTTTGTATGTTGCTATTTCAAAATAAGATCCTCACCCCACAAAGTATACAGCTTTGAACAGAACTTAGCTGAAGGAAAAATAGGTAATGAGGATATTTTTGGCTTTTATTTTGAAATTAATCAAATGTGATTGATTATACAAAGTTCCAGTTTAAGTGTAATTATCATTTTAGGTTGGAGTTGGGCAGAACAACAGACAATGAAGAAAAATCTACAATATTATGGTAAAGATGTATTTACATGGTGATTGGCAATATTTGTCTTAATATGGAAAAGTGATATTAGGCTAAAACTAAAAAAGAAGACAAAACTTTTAAAAAATTCTCAGAAACATATTTGTTTAAAAAACTCATTAAACTCACTACTGAGCTTTTTTTTAATTACTCTTATTTGTATCTAAATCTCTATTTTTTAAAAAAGGCAGACTGGGCTGGGGATGTGGCTCAAGCGGTAGTGCGCTCGCCTGGCATGCGTGCGGCCCGGGTTTGATCCTCAGCACCACATACAAACAAAGATTTTGTGTCCGCCGAAAACTAAAAAATAAATATTAAAAAATTCTCTCTCTAAAATAAAATAAAAAATACAAAAGGCAGACTACATGCCTGGAATCTGTTTCTCCTCTTTACTTTCCTTTTTCTATTGCTAACCAAGAATGATCAGGAAGGGGCTGGAGACATAGCTCAGTGGTAGAGTGCCTGTCTAGCATGTGAGAGTTCCTGGGGGGAGTAGGAGCGGGGTGAGGTGGTGGAAAACTCATGAGGAGACAGACTGCTTCTATAAGGCAGAACTAATTCTATGCCTGGTTGGATCTGACTTAGATATGTGTGGTGGCAGAAATAATGAGCAAGATCTCTACTCCTCAGAAAAACTGACTCTTTTTCAAAGACAGGGCAAACTGGCCCATGATCATTCTTAAAAGCCATCTGAATCACTGACCAGATCAGTTACAAACTGAAGGGCAGAAGACTCTTTTATATCCAAGACATTTGAAAAGTTATATTGTTAGTTCTTCTGAAAAAAAAAAAAATATATATATATATATATATAATAAGGTTCATTCATTCTGGAGAGAAAGTGAATATGTAGAGAGAACAGGAAACGTGTACAGTCAGAATTCCACTCTAGGTAGAAGTTTCCAAATTCAGCTGTTTCAGAATCACCTGAGATGCTTATTTAAAAAGATGGCTGGGCCCCACCCCAAAATGTAGATTAAAATCTTTGCATTTAAAAAACCTCCCTACCCTAAATCCTGGTGATTCTGCATTTACAAGACTTGAAAACAGCTGCTCTTAGGGCAGTGTTGAGAAGTCCTTTGCTGCAAATCATTAACATTCCTGGTATTGATTACTTACGTGTAAACTTTAAGAACAAAATCCTTTTCTTCCTTTAATTCTGTGAGTGACTGGAGGACATCCAAGATGCTTAGGACTGCACAGCCATATGGTCGCCTGTAGTGCAGATGCGCAGGGCCCTTCTTGGAGTCATTCAGGAGCATCCGGCCTTGGGCAGAGCAGAAAGCACTAGTCACACTGAGAACTCCATGCCCCTCTCCATCATCTCCTGATTGTCATTCAAGGATGCCAGAGCTACGGGGACCTAAGAGATCCTTCAAGTTGAAATACTAAAGGGTTGCAGGGAATCATCCAAGGATATTTATGTTGAAAAAAACCCAAATAGACCAAGGCTCCTTTCCTGCACCACACTGTGTCAATCATCCTTATCACCTATCTTGAAATCAACACAACAGTCCATTTATTAATCACATGAGAATAAATGAGTGACCTTAGGAATTTCTTAGAAAAATCAATGAGCTAATACTTTAAACTTGACAGGCAAATTAAGGATAGAAAGTTCAATAATTTTTGCTGCTGATTAAAAACTATGTGAGCACAGATAAGGAGGAGACCGTGTTCCTCTTCCCCCCCACCCAATTTTGTTGCCAAAGGTGCTCCAGAACCACTATGGAAATAGAAACATTCTTATGAAGTGGATGGATGCTTACTTTTCCTATTTATCAACACTGTGCCAACAGTGGCAAAAGGACTTATAAATTCTAGTACCTCAACAAATGCTTTAGTAATTACACAAAAATAGTGGTTTTTTTTTTTTTTTTTTTTTTTTTTTTGTGGGGGCAAAGGACTAAAAACATCCTTTGACAAAATGTACAAAATGATATGCTATAACCCAAACTACAAAGGAAACTTTGTTAGAGCTGCAAAAGTTATGCCATAAACTTGAAATAAGTTTAGACAAACCCACAATAAAACAGCAAGGAAAATCAGTTTTTTTCATTTCAGTTGGAGTGGAAATGAAATTCTATCCTTCTTTTGGAGTAATGACAATAACTCTAATATTGTGGAATATGGTATAGATAGATAATTTTGGATACAAACTACAGCAAAGGGAATGTACCATCTGTTAAGTTGGCACTCCTGGCAACTTCTGTAACATTTTTGAGGGGGAAGGTAGGTATAGGGAGAGGATATTGTGATTGAGAGACTGTCTCAAACCAGACTACTTAAAATAAAAAGTTTGCGAAGAATCCCACCATTACATGTAATTATAATGCACCAGTAAAAAATAAAATTAAAAAATTTGAATCTAAAAGCAAATAGGGAGAAGGTTTCAAGTGGGAAAAAATGCATTCATTTATATCAAACCTAGCTACTGCAGCAGCTGACCTCTTACAACTCAAACAATAACAACAGTAACAAAAAGCAAATTCTAATCCTGAGACCTGAAATAAAAGGAAAGAGCTGGGAAGACAAAACTTAGGCTTAGTGAATATATACATATTCCAAGTAGGGCCAGTCTTACTCATGTGAATGGGTAAAGTGGACAGTACCTATTCGGATCACATGGGCAACAATATGTAAGTCTCTCTTCATGTCTTTGCTGCTCAGATCCTAAGAAAAGGAAAGAAAAAAGAAATAAATTCAGGCAAGTAATATTCAGAAAATAATAAAGTTTCATTTTAAACCTCATAGTGCTTTGCTTTTAGTATATGTTATAGGTAGGGGGAGGGAGATTACAATATACAATACTTTAGTGTTTATAAGAGTGCTATGAAAGTTTGGATATTCTATATGCTTTGGTTGTTTATTTTATTTATAATATTTTCCAGCTTTCATTTTGACTGTCCCCCCCCCCCCCGAAAAACCCCAAATATTTACAAAAGTTGTACTTTGGAAATCTTCATGATTTCACCTCATTTCCTCCACTTTTAAATTTGTTTTTATTTTTAAATTTGTTCTAATTAGTTATATATGAAACTAGAATGAAGTAGGATACATCATACATAAATGGAGTATAATTTCTCATTCTTCTGGTTGTACATGATATAGAATCCCACCAGTCATGAGGTCATATATGTACATAGGGTAATAATGTATGTACATAGGGTAATAATATCTGATTAATTCTACCTTTCTACCTCCATACTTGCTTCCTCCCTTCACTCCCCTCTCCCTAAAGTACCTCTATTATCCACTAGCCTGCCAGCCCTTCTTATTGTGAGTTAGCATCTGCATATCAGAGAAAATATTTGGCCTTTGGCTTTTTGGGATTGGCTTATTTTGCTTAGCAAGATATTCTCCAGCTTTATTCATTTACCAGAAAATGAATAAAGTTTTATTTATTAATTTCATTCTTCTTTAAGGCTGAGTAATATTCCATTGGGTATATATGTCACATTTTCTTTATTCATTCATCTGTTGAAGGGCCTCTAGGTTGGTTAAAATAGTTTATCTATTGTGAATTGAGTTGCTATAAACATGGATGTTTGCCTCATATTTCTTCTATCATCCCCTAAATACATTTTGTCACAAAAGGAATAAATGTTCAGAGCAGAAAAGAATAGGAAAACCTCAAAAGCTTATCAGTGACAAAAAGCTTTTTCTCTACTCATTTTATATCTATTTCATTGTCCACAAATGATTATTACACTTTGACTATGGTACCTTTAAAAGAGATTAATTTGAGTTGTCTGACTTGCTTGGTATCAGAGCATAGGACTATTAAAAGTGATTCACTTGGGGCTGGGGATGTGGCTCAGTGGTAGAGTGCTTGCTTAGAATGCATAAGGCCTTCAGTTCAATCCCTAGCACTGAAAAGAATGATTAATTTGGTTTTAATTAAACCTTGACAATTTGATGTACATTTCAAAGTTTAGACATTTATCATTTATGCTAATTTATAAAGTTAAAAATGTTTTTATTGGAAAAATTTAAGGGCTTCCATTATTATTATTTCCAGTTCAATCGAACCTAGGACAGCTTTAACACTGAAGTATAACTCTAGTCTTTACTTTGAGATAAGGTCTCTCTAAGTTGCCCAGGCTGGCTTGGAACTTGATCCTCCTTCCTCAGCCTCCAGAGTTGCTGGGGTTACAGGTGTGCACCACTATGCCTGGCCTAAGGGTTTCCTTTAAATAAACAAATAGTGTTTTCTGAGAATCAGAAAATTTTTAAATCACAGTTACAAAACTCATTCTTACACATTAAGGATTCATAATCAGAACACATTCTAAAATAAAATGTTTGCTTATTTATATTTTAGTACATTATACTTGAAATAATAAAACTTCCTTTAATATATATTCCATTTCAGATTTTTCATCAGGTTATCAACTCACTGCTCACTTCTGGCTATTACTGTGATTCAGTGATAATGAATGAGGGAAGAGTCCCTTAATTCCCTTTCCTTTTCATACTTCATCTTTTGATTGGTTCCAGATCCCAATTAAAAAAAGACAATGGAGGGGGTCAGTCATGATTTGGAGTGACTTTAGTTTTAAATAATTTTTATACTCTGTTAGAGGATTAACTTTAAGGTAAAGCAAGCAAGGCCCCTAAGGGGCGAAATTTAAGGAGATGTTCACTCTCAGGATACTGTACTTTGCTTGCCTTACCCTTGTTCCAGCCCTGCCATGGTGAATGACCTTGAACAAATGAAAGAAAAGGAGATATTAAAAACTAATGTAAAATGGTGAAAGTGAAGCTTTTTTTCATGTTTAGTGTTTTAAATTTGACTAATTTTGACATAAATGTGACGCCTTTAAAATCTAGACGGTTACAGCACTCTTACAATAGTTTACACATAATGAAATAGGCTATAAAATAATTTAACATAATTGATATTTCTGGATCATAAAGATATATTTTTACATGAAAGTTGTCTTTTAATATTGAAAAAAGATGTTTCAGGCTCCATTCCAGCAATTCCTCTAATTTATAATGGAATTTAAAATAATACTATCCAAATAGTGCTATATTTTGATACTTAATAAGATGGTTACTAATTAATAAATAGAAATTGAAAAACAGGTTACCATTTTTACACTTTTGGAGATTAAAATATGTCTATAACTGAAAGGTCTAGAAAGGTTTGATAAATTTCAAAATGAAATGATTTCTTCTATTATAGTCTAGGTTGTGTTAACTCAAACTATCAAATGGCAAAGAAACAACAATTAATGTTGGTGAGGATGTGGAGAAAAACATACACTAGTACACTGCTGGTGGGAATGCAAATTGATGCTATCATTTTGGAAAGCAGTATGGAGGTTCCTCAGAAAACTTGGAATAGAATCACTATTTGACCCAGCTATCCCTCTTCTTGGTTTATACCCAAAGAACTTAAAATCAGCATATTGCAGTAATGCAGTGACATCAATGTTTAGAGCAGCTCAATTCACAATAGCTAATCTATGGAACTAACTTAGGTTCCTTCAACGGGTGAATGAATTTAAAAATGTGATTTTATATATATATATATATATATATATATATATATATATATATATATATATATATATATGATGGAATATTATTCAGCCTTAAAGAAAAGTATGTTTTTAATAACCCTGTGATAACTGTCTTCAACCATGCACTTACATTTAATAAAATGAGGCTGGAGAATATCATGCTAAGTAAAATATTCCAATCCCCCCAAAACCAAAAGCTGAATGTTTTCTCTGATATGTGGATGCCAATTCACAATGGCAGGGTTGGCTAGGGAAGAACAGAGTTACTTTAGATTAGGTAGAGGGGAGTGAAGGGGAGGGGAGGGGGTATGGGGGTAGGAAGATTAGTAGAGTGAATCAGACATTAATCTATGTACGTATATAACTATATTACCGGTGGGATTCTACATCATGTATAACCAGAAGAATGAGAAATTATATTCCATTATATATGATGTATAAAAGTACATTCTATTGTCAGGTATAACAAATTAAAACAAATAAAAAAAATTTAAAAACCATACTCTTGAAGACTAAGTACCAAGTGTGGCTACTCATGTTAAAATACAAAGACCTGTTAAATCAAGATGGAAAGAGAGATGATGCACTCATCATCTAATGAGTAGGATTTGAATCCTAACTGCATGGCAGGAATTAGATATGCTCACTGGACTATACTCTCTGAACCTATGTAACTAGGAAGCTGGTGACCCACTACACAGTGGGTAGAGATGAGTGAGGACAGTGATTCAAGGCCCAACATCTCAGTTATTTATGTTCAATTTGAAATTTGGAAAAGTTAGTTAATTTATTTCCCTATACCTGAGCTATTCTTTTTCTATAGAGATAATGGGACTTACAAATATAAAATATAGCCATTTTTTTCACATTTAAGCTGCAGAAAATAAGAAATAGGTTATTAGAGTAATAATTTCAGAACTCCAAGAAATCAACACCTAAAATCTCATTTTGAAATGTGGAAAAATATAAATAAATGTACAAAATATGATTCCAACTAATGCAGGGGAAATAGTACAAGTTCATTCTCCAGTAGGTCACTCAAACATAACAGTAAGTAGCATATATTTACTTATTTATTTATGTAAAAAATAATTTTTGAGACCTCAGTATTTGTCACACACTGTGTGAGGTGTTGGATATCTAGTAATGAGTAAATACACATAGATATACTCTCACTCACTCATACATACAGCCATTGTTTATTATGAAAGTCAACAAATTCCTCATTGTATTGGAAATTCATGTAAATATGAAACACTCTTGAATAAATTCTTTCTTCACAGGAAACCCTAAAATCTAACACAGTCAGAGATAATAAGGTTTCAAAGAGAAAGGGTTGTACCACTGATAATGTGAATGTAATGTGGCTCTGAAATCTGCTAAATCTGGCACCCTTTTCCTGATGTTAAGTTAGATAAACAGATTAGCATCAACTATTTTTGTGGCTGCATTTACTTTCATTTTTATTTTTCATTTGTTCATTTTAGTTATACATGACAGTAGAATGTATTTTGACATACATACATGACTCCACTTGTGGCTTCATTTTTTTTTGCATTTATTGAGACTTTGTAGCACATATAGCAATCTGGAAGTCTCCTTTAGTTTATAGGATTAACTCAAGTCTTGGATAATAAGAAAACAGTTCTCATCAAACTTTATATATATATATATATATATATATATATATATATATATATATAACATGAAAGTCCTTAGTAGGTTTGTTCTTTCTCAGTGTGGCAGAACAGGAGCACATCATGAGTGTTGAATGCATCTTTGATTTACAAAATTGGAACTACAGCTTTGGCCTCTGGGCCCATACAGATAATTAAAATGCTAAATGAAAATTTTGTTTTACTGCAATTACATCCAAATGTCATCATAATCAAGTTCATTTTTCAAGTGACAAGGACTATTCATCATATTTGAGGATGGCACATACACATAGGTCTGTTCCCACAAATCCAAGGAACAAGGCATCAACATTTTCTCCTGTTATTTTACTAGATACTAGAGGACCAGGACCTGAAAACACCTTCCAAAATTACTGAAATATTGTAGAGAGATGTGTCTCATCTCCTTCTGTTTCAGAAGCAAGGTCTCAGAGAACCACGTTAGTGGTTAGGCATTCTCTTTTCCTTCTTGCATTACCTTCTAAGCCTTGAATACTGAGTTCAAAGATGGACAAAACATTATTTTAGCTTGGCTAGATTTATAAATATTTTTGTGTATCTGGAACATTTAAAGTTAAAGCTGTTCCTGTGAAAGTAGTTTCTAATTCTATAATAACATCATTTGACATTTTGAAAGATTAAGGTATAGTAAATGAACTGAAGTCAGTTGAACAAATACAGTTTTAGCTTTCAAAGAAAATCACACATTAGATCCCAGATAAATACTATTTGCATTCATGAGGCATAATGTAAACTTTTAGACATCACTTATCAATCACATACCACATGCAAGGTCATTGACAATTTGAGACTATCACATTTCCTAAGCTCAGTGAATTTTGATGTATCTTTTGATGTATCACTGAAACAGATCAAAGAACCCATAATAGTCAAAACATATTTAAAATTGTGACAGTCTTATTTTCTTTTTCAGAAAACAAGTGAACTCAAAGTTGGATAGTTTTTTAATGGGACAAAAATAAATCAGAATCAATTTGAAGAATATACAAGGCAATGTGGTATTGTGAGGTTTAACACTTTTCATTAAGCAAATTACACAACCTTCTCTGAGTTGATGGCTCCATGATTGCAGAGACCATGAACAACAGCATGGCTATTCAGAAAAAATCCTAATGTTCAGATCACAGCAGAAAAAGACTTCCCATCTGGTATTTGAAAGAGGACTATTGAGTTTTTCTATCTTTATTTGAACTTACTTATAGACTGCTAAAGTGCAGATTTAGTGGACACATTTAAGAGAAAACTATGCTTACATATCAGAGACGTTCCCAGTGCCTTGGATAACAATAGTAAAACAGAGTTAAACCAGATTTTGTGGGAAGTAGTTTATAAAATCTGCACCAGTGAAAGGTACTTGATTATATTTCTTTAATAAAAATTCAGTTAAAAACCACACATAATTTTGGTTTTCTATAAATATTTCATTAAATTGGACAGAAACATAAATCAAATTCTATTGTCCCCAGTGTGAAGCAAATAATAAATGCTCATTTCTAAGGTGACAATAGCTATACAGCAGTTAGAGTCAATATCAAAAAATGGGGGGGGGGGGAATTTGCACATACTGTAAAAAGGGCACACATTCGGTCTATCTTCTCTGGGTTTCTTGGCCCACCATTCTTGTTCAGTCTCACCAGAAACCGCTCACTGAAAAGTAGGAAGCAGAAAGAAAACTGTAAAGAACTATACACTTTAGAACAAATAAAAAAAGGTATATACACAGAATTCTCAAATACTTACAGGACAGCTTGTAAGAGATAGGTGAGGCCCAAAACACATATCTAGTAGCAAGACACCCTATTTTTTTTGTGCCAAATAACATGCTGCAGACACTCCAAACTGCCAGATAGATGTTGCTGTTTACGTGTTTGTTGTGGCTGTGAGTTTTATATCTCAGAAGGGCACTAATAAGGACTGTGTCATATTTTTCCCCAATTCCCCCAAAGCACCTGGCACAATGCTAAGCCCATTAACAAGTATCTTTGATGTGAGAACTCTGATCATAATAAAAATATTAATTATATTACAGCTAAAAGAATCTACATTATCCAATTTACATCTTCCTATATGTAACTCTGGAGAATCTATTTTAGGACTAAGGGGAAAAAAACACTACAAGGACTTACAAAAATTTGAGTGAAAAGTAAAAAACAAATGATGTGTTATAACTAAAGCAGAATTTTGTTGAGGGCTGCGATCAAGTCAAGATGGCACCTGGCAGTTTGCCAGGAGGAGTGGTTTGTGAGGCAACGCCACCGAGCCATTAAGATGATGAGGATTCCTTATTGGCTGACTATTGTATCTAGATTATGCTAATTGAGACAAGCTATGTGTAATCAGTAAGGTATATATACCTCTGCTGTACTGAAATAAAGCGACTCCTGCTACCTTGGGTGCCCGCTACCTTGAGTTCCCGCTTCAACCTTCAAGTTGCTTGTCACCTCCCGGTTATTGTGCCCAGCCGGACTGTGGCAGAATTTAAGTCAGTAAATATTTTATTTCTCAAATAATATAGGTAATTCCATACGGAAATTATTGAACTAAAAAAATAACAGCCCATAGATGTAGTTTTTGTAACATTTGGAGAAATATCTCCTTTCTCCCTTATCTCCTTCCAGTCCCTACACAGAATCTCATTTCATCTCTTCATGCTAAGGTTCCCTACCAACTTAACAGGAAAACTGCGGCACGGTGAAGACAAAGTATGGGGCTATAAAAGTAGTTTGCTTCCCTTGTGTCCTCAGTCACACTAACTGAATACATGTGACATCTGTAAAAGGACAGGTATTAAAATATTCTACAAGAATTATAAGATGGAATATCAACTGCATGGTTTGATCAGTTCATGTATTCATTTGTTCATTTAGTTGACACAGTTATTTATTATTATTAGTTTTTCCATGTTTTTGTTGGTATACTATTATTTTACATAATGGCAGGATTTGTTGTTACATATTTGTACATGCAGACAATATAAAAATATAATTTGGCCAATATAATTCCCCAGTATTTCCACTTTTCTTTCCTTCCTCCCTTCCCTTGGTTCCTTTCCTCTACTCTACTGGTCTTCCTTCTAGTTTCATGAGACCCCATGCCACCAATGTTTTCCTTTTTCTTCTCTAGCTTCTAAATATGAGAGAAAACATGAGACCCTTGATTTTCTGAGTTTGGCTTATTTCACTTAATATTCTCAAATTACATCCATTTTCCTATAAATGACATAATTTTATTCTTCTTTATAGATGAATAAAACCATAGATTATACCACATTTTACTTATCCATTCATCCACTGACAGAAACTCAGGTTGGTTCCATCATTTGGCTATTATGAATGTGATGTTATAAATGTGGGTATGTATGTATTGCTATAGTATGCTGACTTTAATTCTTTAGGGTAGACACCTAGGGATGGTATAGTTGGGTCATATGGTGGTACCATTTCTAACCCTAGTCTTTTTTTTTTTTAGTTGTAGTTGGACACAACATATTTATTTTATTTATTCATTCTTATGTGGTACTGAGGACTGAAATGAGAACCTCACACATGCTAGGTGAGCATTCTACTGCTGAGCCACAACCCCAGCCCCTAACCCTAGCCTTATGAGGAACCTCCATATTGATTTTTATAGTGGTTGTACTAATGTACAATTCCACCAATAGTGTAAAAGTGTTCCTTTTTTTTCTACATCCTCCCTAAAATTTATCATTGTTTACATCTTTTTTAAGCTTATGGTTCTTTTATTAACAAGGGCTTTGGTTACCTGAACAAAAATGTGTTTGAAAGTGGGGTGGTGGTAGTAATGGTGATTCAGGTCTTTGTTTTGTAAGGCAAATGGACACTTAGTACATGTTTGATTTCTGACCTCAAATGCCTGTTAGGTTTAGTAGTCTAATGACAGGGATGAAAAACAAGAACAAGAAGTCATTAGGAAAACACAAATTTAAAACAGTGAGAAACTACTACATAATCTATTAAAAGGGCTAAAATTAAAGAATGAATATCAAGGCTTGGCAAGAATATAAAGCAGATAAAATGCTCATAAACTGTTGGTGGGAATGCAAAATAGTACAATTACTTTGAAAAACAGTTTGACAGCTTCTTACTAAACATAAACCAGTAATTCTACTCCTGGGTATTTACTCGGGAGAAATGAAAACATGTCCACACAAAAGCCTGAATTTGAATGTTTATAGCAGCTTATTTATAATAGCAAAAAACTATAAATTGCTTTCAAATGATAAATAGTTCATATAACCAAATACAATTGCACAATTAAAAAACACAAGAAACTACTGAGACATATAATAATATAGATCAATCTCAAAAGCATTATGTTAAGTGAAAAGTTAATCACAAAGACCATATGCTGTATATCACTATTTTTTATTTTGGGGAGTATCAGGGATTGAACCCACAGGCACTTAACCACTTAGCCACATCCCCAGCCCATTTATTAATTCTTTATTAGTACATAATCATTACATATCAGTGGAATTTGTTGTTACATATTCATACATGTACACAACATAATTTGGTCAATTCCAATTCCTAGTTCCTCTCCTTTCTTTTCCCTCCTCCTGTTTTCTTGTCTCCTTCCTCTACTCTACTGGTCTCCCTTTTATTTTCTTGGGATTCCACTTCCCACTCTTTCCCCTTTTTCTCTGTAGCTTCCACATATGAGAGAAAATATACATATATGTTACTATCTATATTACATTCTGGAAAAGGCAAAACTATAGGGTCAGAGATCAGGGGTTGCCAAGGCTGAGAAAGGAGGGTACACTGTCTATAAAGGTGCAGGGGGAACTTTGGGGTGATAAAATGTTCTATTTCTTTGTTACAGTGAGATTGCAATAAATTACAGAGACAGTCTCAATGTAAAGGATGGAGCCATCTTTATTCACCAGCTGGGGAGGCACCAGCTGGCAGGATGAGGAGGCAGGCTGCATGTCTATACGCCTTGACCCCCTCCAGGGGTTAGAGCACACCTTTTATAATTTAAAACCACAAGTAAAACATGTCAGTATATTAATTATAAGTGGCTTTTGCTATGATTCAAAATTATAAACATCATGAGATCTAAAATCATAAGCAGAAGGGGAAGTGGGTCAAAATGACCCTAGTTGAGTATGATTTAAAGAATGTTTACTAACATCTAGACAAACATTCTCTGACAGGATACATTGCCCGGAAAAAATGGAACCAAAAAGAGAAAAATTTTACATCATATAAGAAGAAGAAAAATATCTGTGTTTCTATGCAGGGTGTGCCAAGCAGGATCAGGATGGAAGAGGCAGAATTCTCTCAAGGGAGAAGCATTTCTTACATAACATGGAGATTTAGGGTAAAATGGAGTCTGTTTAGTCATTGACTATATAGCCTGGCCCATATTATCTTAACTGTAATGGTGGTTTCACAATGACATACAATCATCAAAACTCACTGAATGATGCAATAAAAAGGGCAAATTTTACTACTAAAAATTATATCCAACAAATCTGACTTCAAAAAAGATGGGATACACATTAGCACATTAACATCTCATGGAATAGTGTTACTACAAGGAAAAATATTAAAGATAAAGGAGACAGAAATTAATAAAGGAAAACCCTTGATGAGGTGAGAACTAACAGAATGTAGATGACAGTCAAGAAGGAAAAAGATAGGTTTAGATACACATAAATTTGTAGTTTTAGTAACAAAACGTTGAGGCTTATTAGAGAAACAGGAAATAAGAAAAGTACATTTTTTAAAAAGACATACAAAAACATTAGTAAAAATTCTCAGATCATTTGAAAGAAAAAAGGAGAAAAGATAATTGTGACACAGACAGTTGGAAAAAAGGGACAATTAGGCAAATCAATTCTGTCTCCAAAATATATTTTTAACATTTATATCTCTTTCCATCTTCTTTGCTTCCATTAGTCTAAGCCACCACTAGATTCTAGCTTAGATTTATATAACAGTATTCCAGGTCGTGTCTTACTTGTCCTTTTGCCTCTCTAAAATGTGTTCTTTGGAAAGATTGATCCTTTTCAAATGTCAATCAGATTACATAATTTCCCATTTCAGAATCTTTTCATATAATAAACTAATGTATTACAAGGTTGTCAAGGCAATTCAAATTCAAGATGGAAAAAAATAGAATTTCAAAAAATGGTGCTGAAAATATTGGATGCAAAAATACAAAGTAATGAAGCTGGACTTAAATTTCATATCACATATAAAAATTAACTAAAAATGGATCATAGATCTAAATGTAAGAGCTAAACTACAAAAACTCTTAGAAGAAAATTTATCTCCATGACCTATGGATAATGTTTTTAGGTGGAACACTAGAAGCACAGCAACAAAAGAAAAAATAGGTAAGTTGGACTTAAAATTAAAACTTTTGTGCTTTGAAGGATACCATCAAGGAAGTAGAAGAAAAGCTAGAAAATGAGTGAAAATATTGGCAAATCATATATCTGATAAAAGATGTATGCTTATACTATGGATCAAAGATTTAGGAATTAGACCAGGAGTTTTACAACTGCTAGAGAAAAACAGGATCAACAACCCAACATATGCATACAGGCATAAACTTCCTCAATAAGACTCCCAAAGCTCAAGAAATAAAACTGAAAATTTAAATGGGATGGCAAA